TATATATATATATCTTTTGAACATATGTATTTGAACATTTGATATTAGAAATTGATAGCGTACAAAGCATCAAAATATTTTTCATTTCGTAGCTTCCTGCTGCTCAAAGGCTGGATATTGCTCCAAGACTTGCGCCCAAGTGAGTTTCGTCGTTGCCAAATCCTTGACCACACTAACCACCGTATCGAGTCCAATGCGGACCTGCTTCATTGTGTTCCGGTCACGTAGCGTCACTGTGTGAGGCTCCTTTAGGGTGTCGAAGTCCACAGTGATGCCGTAGGGGATGGCAATTTCGTCGGTGCGTGCATAACGACGCCCTATGGAGCCACTCGAGTCGTCCACTTTGTGGGACAGCTCCGCCTTGGTCAACGCCGAGGACAACTGTTGAGTGTACGGCTGGAACTCAGCGTTGTTCGAAAGAGGCAATATTGAGCATTTGTACGGGGCAACAAGAGGCGGCAATGTGAAGTAGCAGCGCTGCTCGTCACCCTCCCGGCATTGGAAACTATGTTCGAGCAGGGCATACATAACGCGGCCAATTCCAAAAGATGGCTCCACCACACTCGGTATAAATTCCTCGACGTGCACAGTTTTGGTAGCATGCTTCACAGTGATGCTTTCCGTTCCGAGCTCGTGAGTAGCGCCATCCGGGAGGGTCAGCGTATACTGTTCACCTGCTGCTAGCTGCGTCTCAGCCTTCTTAATATCATCCAGCGACAGCTTAGCCAATGCATCTGTTATGGCCTTGGCCTCCTTTTTGAATGTTTTTCCCAGCGCTTGCTTATTAGGCACAATCTCACTGACTTCCACGGTCTTTGGAGCTGCCAAACGCTTTTCGGCCACCAAGCGTACGCCGGTGGCGGCCGTGTGCTGGCCCAGGTCATAGGCTGATCGATCGGCACAGCCGACGCACTCCACCCAACCATATGAGGTGAGAATCTCTGCGTCCCAGCAATCGCAGGCATAGTGAGCCATTTCATTGCCCATATGCTGACGGAAGCGCAGGCACTCAGGCTTGATGCCAATCGCATGAAGGAATTGCTGGATCCGCGCCATGTAGTAGCCCAATGTCTCGTTGGCCACTAGTTTACTGGACACTGCCTCGCCAATGGTCAATGCCTGGGCTGATTTTCCGTCCATTTGGTTGCACGCTGAATACAGTGTTAGCTTCTCGCTGGCTACCCGCTTGAACTTGGGGTGATCCTTCTGCGCGGGATCACAGAAGTGCTCAATCTCCGCCATGGTGAACTCGCGCACGCGTATCAGGCCAGACCGCGGCGAAATCTCGTTGCGAAATGAGTTGCCGATCTGGGCCACAGCAAAGGGAAGCTTTCCCTGGTTGAACTCCAGCAGCCGCTTGAAGTTCACAAATATGCCCTGGGCAGTCTCCGGGCGCAGAAATCCTTTTACCAGACCAGTGGGTCCAATTTGAGTAGCAAACATTAGATTAAATTCTATTGGAGGCGTTAAATCATTGCCAGTCAATGGTGACTTTATGTTGTACTTAGCTAACACGTCCGCGAGCTCCTGTTTGCTTAAGCCATCTAGTTTAATAATAATGTCCTCGCACTCAGCCCGCAGCGCTGCGGTGGCGTCCTTGGCTGTGGACAACTTTTCGAGTGCTTGCTTGATAAGATGGTCCAGGCGGAAACATTCGCCGGTTTTGACGTCCTTCACCATCAGATCGGCAAACCGTTCCACATGCCCAGAGGCCTTGAGGACTGGCTCGGGCGTCAATATCGAGCAGTCCACTTCTAACATTTGCTCCTCCAAGCTAAAGAACTGACGCCACAGAGCTAGTATGTTGGACTTGAGTGCACATCCCATTGGTCCAAAGTCGTATTGGCCAGTGATACCGCCGTATATGGCAAAGGATTGATCGTAGAAGAAGCGTCGCTTCAGGAGATCCTCCATTTTCGCGCGATCAAAGCTCACAACGCTGGGTGTCAGCGCCAATTCCCTTTCCTCTAAAACTTTCTTACGAATTTTTAGCTCGGCTACGGCCTTCTTGACATCTAGTTCGGGTGCTCCCTTTGCCTTCAGTTCGCGGACCAGGTTCCCTTGCTCCTGCACTCGCTCTCGCAGCGGTGCCAGCTGCGTTTCTATCTCAGGATTTGACATGATGAAATCTGTTGCTGCTCGCAACTGGACACTTCGCTTTTGTTTCTTGCTGCCCCACGACTGTACTGAGCAGGTGTGGGAGGTTGTGCAGAAAAATGCTTTCAGTTGTGCTTTGTTGGCAAAGATCTCTCGCTCACGCTTGCTCTCACGCCTGGTCCACGTTTTTCCGAGCGCGCTATTTCGTTGAAGATTTGATAAAATTCCACAAGCGTTGCGCAAGTGTGTGTGCACTTTTAAAAACTGTAATGACATATGTTATTTTGTATGCGGCCAACGCTAGAATTTATGTAATTTTTATTCACAGTTTCGAAATTCATGCATACCTTCAGCTACCTCTTGGGTGATTCACAATAGAAATGATTGTGATGTGCAACACTGCAGCGAAAAGCTGCCGTAGACCGGCTTATCGTAACGTGTGTGAGCCACATGTATAATATAAATTGCATCAAGCATCTTATTTATCTGTAGGAGTGAATAGAATGTAATTTTTTTTATTAGCCATAGTCAGGTAATATTAAAGAGACTTCATATTTTATTGTTTGATTTAATGTCAAAAGTTCTCTCCAACACTACTTTAACCATCGATCACTTTTAGTTGATACGTTTTGTATGCAGCTGTTGGCATATCGATACATCGATGAATATGTTAAAATTCATTTTGTTCTTTACTGCTCAGAAGCATTTTTCCTGCATGTTTATTTTTAAAGTTTAATTTTGCTGAATTCGATATTATTTAAGGAAACAAACAACGTTTACATTTCATTCCTTCTAACTTCTATATTATTGCTGGAAAGTATTTAATATTAAAGCGACCTTGGATTTACTCCGCCTAAAACGTTTGTGATCAATGAAAGGTGACGACGCCGTCTCAACTACAACGACAACGACGACTGCCACCGCATTTCTTCGTAGCATATAAACATAAAACGAGCAGCGATATTTGCGGCACGGCGTTTACCTGAGGTAACTGTTATTTACTACGCCGATTTAAATATGTGGCTTCGATTTCATGTGTGTCTTATTGCAGTCTGGCGCTTTGTTTGTTTGGTAAACATCATAGAATTGGGGCAGTGCAAGAAAGACTGTAGGTGAGTGTAATACTACATACAAATACATATACGCACATACACACACACATATGAACGCTTTGCATGTTATTTGTTGAAATTGTATTTTGTTTTTGAATTGAATGAGCTAATATTAAGTGTAGCTATTGTCAAATTCTGTTTATGTTCGCATTGTGGTTATGTACAGTTAAAATTTCTCGCCTACATAAGCCACACTATTTAGAAATTAATAAGTTACACAGGTGTTATAAGTAACATGGGACCTTTCTTTCGACTGACATACCAACATTTGTACATACATACACATACACACCTGTCTACTGTGGTGGTTGTGGTGCTGCGGTGGTGTGGTGGTGTGGTGTCAGCAGGCAGCTGCTGCTGTGCGTTCTACTCTCGTACAAAGTCTAATCAGCTAGTGCACGTCTCTAACAAACAAGCAAACATACGCCCCAGATAAATACATTGCTAACCCTCAACTAAAACCAAATATACCAAAGAGGCTTACACCTGAAGACTGTTTATGTCTTTCTAGGGTATACCACATGCACCGCTCACCTGTCCCCGCTCATTGCAACCACTGCCAGTCCAAGCAATCGAAAATACCAAAACAAAACTGTAAATGAAAGCAGAACTCGACAGCAGCAACAACAGCAACAATAACATCTGGCGATGCAATTAAAAGCGCCAAAGAGCAGGAATATGGCCAGTCTCAATGATGATGAACCAGCAGCCAACAACCGACGAAACAACAACAACAACAACAACAACAACAACAACAACAACAACAACAACAACAACAACCACAACAGCAGCAGCAACAATAACAACAATAGCAACTTCAATAATAATAATAGTTCGAGTAGCAATCCCAGCCCGAGTACTAATAACAATAATAATAATAATGACAATGAGGATGCGACAAGCAAGCGGGAGTCATTGGAAGCACGCAAACAGACTTTGGAGCAGCGCTTGAACGAAAAGAGTTGGCTGTTGCAGCAAATACAAAAGCAGGAGACGGCGATTATGCATGGCAACTATGAACAGTTGACGATCAATGAATTTTTCGCCCAGCTGGCACAGCAGTACAAGCATGAGCAGCAATTGCAGGCGTTGGCTAAGGACAGTGGCGCTCTGCTGCGACGTAAACAGAGCACGAGCAGCCGGAGTGAGGGCCAGCCGGTTAGCAGTCAAACTTATAGCACCAACAGCAACAACAATCGCCAATCGCACTCGGAAACACACTCTAATCGCAGCTCGGAGTACGATAACTATCAGCCGGCTGGCTCCAATGGTGATATGCTGGTCATAGGCGTTGCTCAGCATCAGTCGCTGCAGCATCCGCACGTAAAAAGCGCTTTGAAGAAGCGACCGACACCCACACCTACTGCTCAGATACAAATGCAATATATTGCACAACGACAGCAGCAGCAGCAGCAGATACCCCAGCAGCAAATACCACAGCAACTGCACCACCACATGGAGGGCTATTCCCCACAGCATGGCAGCTATCTGCAGCAGCAGCAACTGCAACAGCCAAAGCAACGCGTCCAGGGCCAAAAGGACGTTATATCTATGTACTCGGCCAACTCGGCCAATGTGGCTACCTTGCGGCAGCAGCATGTGGCGCCGCAGCAACAGCCCATTATCGTGCAGTGCGACAAGTATTATCTGTCGCCGACGCATCAGAACTATAGTGAGGGCGGCTTCATCAAGTCGAGTCAGAATATAAAGAAGTATGTGTCGCCGCTCGCCTCGCCGAGTGCTATTAGCTACGAGCAGAGCTCGTTGCATCATCATCGCCAGATTGATGCCATCTCTCTGGCGCCCAGCTATATGTCTGTGGAGGTGGAGAGCGTGGAGAGGCTGGAGAGGGTGCAGCAGCAACAACAGCAGCAGCAGCAGTATCGCTGGCGTTCACAGTCCCACATTGCAGCACTGACTCCACCCCATCCACATCCCAATCAGAGCATGACTGCAGCGCTAGCTGCCGAGCCAAAGTCGCATTCCAGCGATATGTTAGCAGCGCCGCTGCCGCGCTTCGCCAGCAAACCGAAGCCCCTGGATGAGATATCGTTGTGCTCAACGACGACAATTGAAAAGAAGGCGAAGCCTAAGCAGTGGCTGGAGTCATCACTCGACGGGCCCGCAGTCCTGCGTCAAACCGACTCCACATCGCACAGTCCCGTCAGCAGTAGCGGCAGTGGAACCGTCGGCGCTACCGCGGCCGTCAGTAAGCATCGAACGAAGTTGTCCTCACAGTCCATGTCGGTCTCTGGCCGCCACTATTCCATGTCGGCTCAGCGAGGAGCTCACAATTATGCGCCTAATAACTATCCGGCTGTTGGCAGCTCTAAGGCTCTGCAGCATGTGGATGAAAGATTTGCAAAACTGAGTCAGTCCACTTCCTATCTGAACGCCATGGATCAGACAGTGGGCATATCAGCATCCTATGCACTCGAACCACTCGAAATACCGCCATTCAGGCATCTGCCACCCAAGCCAAATCAAAACAAGCAGCCTTCGCCGCCGCCCAGGCCACCGCCAGTTGGCAACAACAACAATAACAATAATATTAGTACTAGCAACTGTGGAAATTCTTTGCAGAGTGCTATGGCATCGCCGCCCCTGACTGTTGGCACTGGCACAGCTGCTCCTAGCCTGTCCCCCGAGATTCGTATCGAGTCCCCCAAAAATATGACTGTGGTGCAGCAGGCCACGTTTCAACCATACAAGGAGGTCATCAAACCTTTCGAAATGTCCGACTTTTACAAGTATTCGACCAAGTTTAAGCAGAAAGATGGCGGCCGACCTGAATGAGAAGAGCTTCGAGCCGAACATTTCTGCTTTTCTCATTAGGATATTTGTATAGTTTTTTGTTATTATCTAAACATATAAACATATTTGATATCTTTTCGACTGACAGTACCAATAGGAAATTCAGGCTTCTTCGCGTTTCTCGTTTGCGGTTAGCGCAAATTTAACGAGTTAGAGCTTCGACTGAAAAACATAAACATTCGAATACCAATCAATATGTTAAAAATGATTGCGATGACTGCTCAAAAATGGACGAATGGAATGGGTATCCATATCAAAACCCAATTGACAATATGAAACGAACAAATTTGTATATTGACTCTACGCCTTCGTAAATTGCCTTTTTCAAAAGTTTTTATACTCTATACATACATATATACTATATTTACTGATATTGTATTTACAAAATTGTTACAAATTTACTGTACAAAATTATTTGTACACTGACTTGAATATACTCTAATCTTTATACATATGATCTTGTCTTTTATATAGTAAATCATCATAAGTAATTATCTCGTAATAATTGATCTTGACTTAAGTCCCTTTAAATATGTGGATTGTGGGAATTTCCATTGGGAAATTCCCATGGAAAATGGGAAATCTGGGTATAATGGTCTTGTGAAAACTATAACAGTCAGAAGGAATCATCGCATAACCCATAAAGTATATACAAATATTCTTGATCAGGGCGTCGAGATGAATCGATATAGTCTTGTCCGTCTTTTCTTTATTATTTCCTAAGCTTGGGAAATTTATATCAGTTTAAATTAAAGTCAAAATAACACTATTGGCTAAATATAATTTACAGATGAGTTAAGGAATAATTATATTTTAAAAATTTCAAACCTGTGCTTATATTCTATTCTTTGTGCTCCTTGCCACGTCGTCTTTTGGCTGTTACATATATTTTTATACCCTGAACCTATTTTCAATGGGAAATCAGGGTATAATGGTTTTGTTAAATGTATGTAACAGGCAGAAGGAGGCGTGGCAGACCCCATAAAGTATGTATATTCTAGATCAGGGCGACGAGCTGAGTCGATTTAGCTCTGTCCGTCTGTCCCTCCGTCTGTCTGTCCGTATGGTTAAGCGCGTCGATCTCAGAAGATATAAGAGCTAGAGATTTGAAATTGTTTTGCTTTAAATATCGATAAATTGCCCCGTTATTTTGTTATCGATTAAAAACATTATCGAAAACCAGTAATAAATTGATATCTCCTACATCTTTAAAGCTAGAGTCTCCAAATTTTGTTTGTATATATGTATATATGCATTTTATACAATTTCGGTTTTTGTCAAAATTTACCCCTCACACTCACATTTGTAAAAGGCGTATTTCAAATACTAGGGACTTGTGCTTTGACAAGTAAATGTATATATCTATGTTATATTCATAATCTGAAAGTTTCATGAAGAAAGTACATCCACAAAAAAAGTTATTGAACAATAAGGTTCCTATAGTAAGCCACCACTGCAGCCAATGCGTGTTTATGCGTGCGTGCGTATCTCTGTGTGTGTGTGTGTATGATGTGGGTATATGCCTGTGTGTGTATGCGTGTGTGTGTGTGTGCGTGTGTGTCTTGTGTAAGCAGAAAGACGCGAAAAATGATTGAAACAGCTATTGCTCGAAGGGTTCAGGGGATCTCGTAGTCGGGCACTCTCGACTAGAGCTTTCTTTCTTGTTACAAAATATATTTTATAAAATTGTTATACTTTCAATACGAATATTCAATGAAATTTTTTTATCCAAAGGTAAATGAGTTTTATAAGACTTCACTTCAAGTTACTAAAGCTTTATAGTTATAGTTAGTCTATTAATCATTCCACAAAATATTTCTTGTGTTAAATTTCTTGGGCACCCTGTTATAGCTTTACATAATTTACTACCAATTATTGATATACACAGATTCCAAAGTTTGTTTATTTCTTTCTATTTACTTTGAATATATGTGGAACTGCATATGTTGATATATGCTCGTCTGTGGGTGAGACGCGTGCACACATAGATTGAGCGAGTGCTTGTATATACGGAAGATATTTTGCTCTGCTCGAGTGGGCATTATGTTGGGGTCTGTTCTCTTTCGAAATATCAAAAACCAAAAATAAAATAACCATTCTCTTAGCATGGGCCAGATCGGTTCAGTTGCATTGGATGCGCCGCGTAACGCGCTGCTGTTCTGATCAGTTGCACTTTGCTTTAGTGCACGATCTGGTGCTGGAGTACATATTATTTCAGAGGAGCCGGAAGAGCAACGCGAATATGATCTAACGTATCGCGTCTTCAGTTGTCGTCGTCGTCTTTGTCTTCTGTGTATTAGTTTCATAGTTTCGTCGAAAGTCAATTGTAAAGTCGCACCGTGTTCAACATTTTACGTAAATCCGTCTCCTACATAACCTCGCCGTGTTCGAAGTGAAGTGACATAAACCAGAAATAGATAAACAGAACGTGGTACGCTTTCGGGACCATTTTCATTTCAAAATCGACTACCAATAACTGAAAGAGCGCCAACCAAGGCGCCAACCTCTACCTTACGCTTCTGTACTTGAATCATAAGCATATATCCCTAATTGACAGTCGCAAATGTGTTTCTTGAACATTTTTGGCGGCCAAGTGTGACCCAATATAGTGAGTGGACTGTGGGAATGAAGTGAAATTTGGGCAACATGAATCTATACACCATATACGATTGGGTACGTAGCCGATATCATATATGCAGTGTGTGCTGCAGTACCAAACTAGCTAAACTTAAATTAAATTACATATACTCTATATGAACGTATGATTTTTGCATACCTTTTTGGCAAAGAGTCGTTTTAATTTCTCAAGCTTTTTAGACGAGCATATAAATACATACATATCAAGTCTAAAATTGGGCAAAATGGGTTGCATGCATCCAGACGGACAGATAGCATGATGGACATTGTTCAAAATTAATATACTCATTTCACTTTTGGGAATGAGTGTAAAAATAGATTTTAATAAATTTAGTCGATCTACAGCATTTGAATAAACCCGAATTCTGGATGCTCAGATATTGGTAAATAGATCTGCTGCGTATCCGCGTGCTTACATGAATTCTAAATAAATATGTTAAATGGGCCCTTTGACCTTTCACTCTAAGCCCGAAGCAGCTCAAGGCTCCCAAATAAACATTCGAATTTAGCGCGTTATCAACTGGCAGCTGGCATTTGGTCGCAGATAGCCGGCAGCATGTTGATGGGGCTCTGTCCTCTCCATTTCTGCTTGCTCTCGCTCTCGCTCTTCGTGAACGCTGCCCACCAACATGTTGCCCACAGAGAGGCGACTTACGTTCCACATTTTTGTTTATAAATAAAAGAAATGTGAGCGCATTTGCTGCACGGAACCGATTCGAGCCGTTGCAAATTTTGTTCGCGCTCACTCGTGCCTGCCTGCTGTAGCTGGGCTCTCTGCCTCTAGTGATTTCTTTGGATTGACTGCCTCTGACAGAGTGCCTGAACTGAATTGAATTGGGAATCGAGCCGACGCCGTCATCGTCGTCGTCGTCGTCGTCGTCCCAGTCGTCGTAGTGGCAGTATTTCTTTCTTATTTATAAAAGAACTTGCATTGCAGGCGGTCGTCGTAGTCGGTAGTTTCTATCGTCGAACGTGTCGAACGCATCGGAAGATAAAAGGCGAGCGTGTGTGAAGTTGTAATAAAAGCAAAAATGGATAAATTGTATTTATATATGCAATGATAGATGCAAAGTGACAATAAAGTTTTACTGCGCGCTTAACTACATTAACTGGAACACTTCGGCCAATGCGAGCATGAGTAAAATACATGTGAGTGAAGTCGGCCTGGCGCCTAGATTAAACTCTTCCCTTCAAGTTCTTAGCAGCTTGGAATGATATCAGATCAGATTGGTTATTGACAGTGTGGAGCTTCAGCCAACATCTATATCAGCCGAATGTGTGTCACACCCCAATAACTGAAATTAAAAGCCGCCTTCTTGACTACCGCAACTGCGAAGCGGAACCCAATTTGGCTCATCGCAACATTCGCGTAGGAGCAGGACAAAATTGGGTTCGACACGCACATATAGGAAAAGAAAAGTTTTTTATCGGGAGCACATGTAACCATGGTGATGGCGAAAACTGTTATCCCGATACGGCTATGGGAGCCAAATTAATTTGCATAATGTAGGCAAGTTCAAGGACGTTCAAGTTGACGTCTCGCAGCTCGTTAAAGGCTTTTGTAAAATTTCAGCAATTAGGTCACAGCTCAAAACGGTCTGAGGCAAAAGCTTTGGGCGCAACGATCTGAATTAATGCCGAGCACACATTCAAATTCGAATCTAATTGGATCTCCAGCCACACGATGCATGTTTCTGACTACCTCACCTACATCTATGAAGTGGACAGGCGGTTTAATTAGTGCCCACATATTCATATATTCAAAAACAAAAATAACTTTAATAAGTTGCATACGATAGCTCGTCGAGTTTATTACAAAATTTAGAAAACGAAAATGCCTCAGATGTATGCTGATTCTAATTATAAAAGGGCGATCAGCAGCCAAGCAGCCAGGCAGATAGGCAACCTGATGTGATACGATGCGATGGCCACTGGCACAGCTGCAATCCATCAACTAGCGCCTGAGTCAGCCCCACCGATTGGCGTTTGCCATTCGCCAGGGCATAATATCCACTTGAGCTGCCGAGCGTTTCGTGTCAGAGATGCGGGTCAATTGGCTGGATGACTATTGCCTAATCTATGCTGATCATTCAGCTTCTTTCGTGTTGTATGCATTAGACGAAGATTCTTGTCGAAGCCCCATAATCCCAATAAGGCGCCTGCTGCTTTTGTCACAATGTCTCTAAGAATGAGGTGACATCATTAGGAAAATAAAAATGAAAACGAAAATCGAAATGAGTTTATTGTGGCGTCATACAAAAATGTCGCAGACAGCTCGGCCAAGAGGAAATCTGTGAATTATGCAGATCTCTCATGTGTTGTGTATTTATAGTTATTTGGGTAATGTAAATGCAATGGTTTTATCTAAAGAACAAGCCTTGATTGAGCTCATGTGCGCAACAGCGAGTAAACAAATGCAAATCTTAATTACAGATCACGTCGCTGCTCCGCACGGGCAGCGGCAGCGCCTTCTACAAGGCAGTCGAAGCACCGGAACAGCCAGCTGCACCACCACAGCCACCCACAGTCAGCAGTCTACAGCAGCAGCCACACACGCGCCCGGCAGCCAGTCGCAGCTGTTTCGCACAGAATGTGGATGTTGAGTTCATACCAACATTGAATTTTTTGTTTCACGCCTCAGCAGCAGTCAGCGATACGCCAGCGGACAGAGAGCAAGAGCACGAGCGTCAGCAACATGCCGCTTCGGAAGCACGCGATGATATTGACTGTTCTGGCACAAAATCTGACGATGATAACGAATCCACGCACACGTATATAATCTCCAGAAGTAGTTTCACGGCAGCCACAGGCTCGAGCACCACACCGTACGCAGTCACATCCACAGACACTGCCGACCTACTAAGGCAGCAAAACAATCTGAGTCTCACCGAGGACGAGCAGACGGTGTCTTCGTTTAGCATTGAGCCGCCTACTAGTTCCATGTCTATTGAAATGGCCGATCAACAGAGATACACAACAACAGCGACATCAGCGACATCAGCGGCAGCAACAACAACAAGCGCTGAGACCAACAGCGCCGATCTGGCTCCAAGGGGAGTCACACAAACCACAGTCACAACTACAACTAGCAGCAGCATAGAAGAAGACATTGAGGAGGCGATTGAGATCAGCGAGGTGGAAGAGCAGTTAAATTCGAACATCGATTCGCTATCCGATGTGGGTAGAAAGGGCCCATCAAAGTATATTGCTAAATCTGAGAGTAGCGAAGAGGCAGCCCATTTCGGCATCGACGATGCTCAGCTTTCTGGTGGCCAATTGGCCCAGCATTTTCTGGCTGATGAGGAGAGCGGTGATGGAGATGCCGATTCACCCAGTCCAAAAGATCAAGCAACAGCAACCGATGACGATGACTTTGATATTAGCCTTCCATTGGAGGGGCGCAAGCCCATGCACTCCCGCCACGAAGATAATGCAGAGGAGTCTCCCCATAGACACGATGAGGGCGAGAGCCTTAGCAATCAAAGCACCACTGACGATGTCTCTGATTTCGTGGACGAGCCGCAGCAGACCACCGACTCAGCAATCGAACCCCAAAACGCACAATCGGGCAGTGTTGCAGCAAGCACAATGGCATCGGCGCTATCGGAGGCGGCCGAGCCTGAGTCAAGGTTGGTGGACAGTGAATTGGAAGAGGGAGTTGATGCACACAGCGAGCAGGATCACTCTATGGAAGAAATCGTTGCTACTAATGAGTCCATAGAAATAACCTACAATGCAGAAGAGGGACTCGCTAGCAGGTCGCTGCTAAGTGCATCGCAAAATCAAAACATTTCAGCCGGCTTAGACGTGGCAGAGCCAGCAGAGACATACACTGCAGAGTCAAACACTGTGGAACAATTAAAGCTACCCCAGTTGCAAAGTCCCCAAATCGTCGATCACAAAACTACAAATATCTTAGAAACAGTTCGGCTAGAACCCGAGCCACTAGATCGGATTATGGTTAATTTGAAAGACGATGACGATGACGATGACGATGAGGATGAGGATGAAGAGTGTGCCATGCAGCTGTTGAAGCTGCGTCTGATGGCCATGAATCAGCAGACCCAAGTGGATACCGGTGCCAAAGGCTCACCCACAGAGTCACCAACTAGTCAAGAGTCTGGAACAATGGAACTTAAGCAAATGGAACGCGTACCGCTTACAGAGTTTAGCAAAGACGTATTGGAGGATATTACAGAAGAGAGTGAGCGTCTTCTATCAATAAGTACCACGGCTGAGGATCCCAAATCATTGTCCATGGAAGAGTCAAAAACATTGCAGGAAATCAAGGCCGGCAGCAATTCAAGTTTGGTGAGCTTGAACATGCTGAAGCAGCTCGAAAGCAAGGTTCAGGACCTACACTCACAGCTGGAGAGTAAGGACAATTGCTTGGCTTCCCTGAATCTTCAGCTTGAGGCTGCCCGCCAGGAGTCGAGCGTCGGCCCGGCATCTGCCCGGGACAGCAGCTCGTTGGTGACTAGCTCCACAGAGTACCGCACATTCCTAGAGGAGTTTGGTGCCCCGGTAAGACATAGTTATAACGTCTTAACAATCAGCGCAACTAAATTATTTTCTTGTATCCCCTATAGACACTCGACATCTACGTGGAGTTATCGCGGCGCGACGAGATGATCGCAAAGCTCACGGAGTCACTGCAGCAGTCATTGAACGTTCGTGGCCAGCTGCAATCGGACTCTGAGAGATTAGGCGAGGAGGTGCAATCGTTACGTAGGCAACTTCACGAGGCCATCGACGCAGTCAAGCGCAGCGGCGGCTGGCCTGATCAACAGGGCAATATCGGACAGCGCATCTCGGAGATATCCATGGATCTGATTAGCGAAAGTGACGACGATATGGAACGTAACTTTCTTACCGACCAAGAAGGGGATCGGGTATCGCGCAGCTCACGTGAGCGACAGCTCTCGGTGCCAATCGATGACTTGGGCGTGGAGCCTTTGCCTCCCGAATGGCCGCCCGCCTTCAGCAAGCAAATCGAACAGTTCCAAAAATGTTTGTTGCCCGGCGAGGTGCGCCCGTTTCTCTTGGTGCAGCGCAAGTTTGACGACTATCTGTCGCAGCAGTTGGCCCAGTGTCGGGAGCAGTGCGCGCAAGAGCTGAAGATCAGTCGGGATCAATGGGAGAGTGAGAAGTTGGCTAACGAGCAGGCGCAGCGTGACGCGCATGCTAAGCAAATGGAGGAGCTGCGCAAATACTTTGAGCATCGCTGTGCTGATTTAGAGAAACAGTTTTCCGACGAAGTTTTCTCGCATAAAAGTCAGCATCTGGGCGGGGACAGCTCCTCCGAGTGCTCGGAGGTGGATCAACTGCCAGAAGAGACAGCCTCAAAAGACTCCTCTCCCCGCAAGCGTAAACGCGCTGAGCTCCTGCTTAGCCCCAGCCATCGCCAAATCACGCCCAGTGGGCTTGATCCCAAGGAACCCAAAGACAGCGTGAGTAGCCAGCCGATAATGGACAGGCAAAAAATATTTCACTACTGTAAATGCATTTTAGGTGTCACAGCAAGTTGCTGACCTTAAAATATTCTATCAAGCACACATCGATGAACTGAAGCGCTCCCATGCAGAGCAAGTGCGCCAACTGAAGGAGCGTATCAAAGTCCACGAGCGACACCAATCAGATGATGATTATTTGGTAAGTTGTCTAGACTTATGGTGCACATTCGCAAACATTCGTGTTAAATAACTAAAAAATTATGCTTGTGATCGATCCACTCATATGTGTATTACCTGAATCCGTCAGTTGATCAATTGCTAACTGCATGTTTTTTCTTGTTCGCTTACTTTTATAACCCAATAAACAATTAACTACCTGGGCACCCCGCAATAACTAATCCGCACAGCCCGCACAACTCAAATCACCGACTACCTGCCAAAACGTGAGACAAGATGCAGTGGAGGTCGACCCAACTGCTGGACAGAACCCCAGCACATCGCTAATTATCATTGATGAGGATGAGCTGAACTTGAATAATGAGTCGCAGGTGATTCAGCGCATCATCGAGGAGTATGAGCGACGCCTGCAGGAGCAGCTGGCGCTGGCACGCCAAGACATAGTCGCCGAGCTAGAGCAACAGATACAGGTGAGGTWTGGAGCAAATGCATGCATGCATGGAGCGCTCTTTGACAACTTTACTGCACACTGCATTTCCGTGAATATATTCTGCATGCTGCGTGATTCACCTATGTAGCTTCATCTGTAGTCCGCGAAACCAGAATTTTTTCTGTGCACTCGTTCAATGAACACTTGGTTCCACCTCTCCCTTCTCTGCTTCAGCTTCTGAATCTGCGACGTACAGCGGTTGCAAATTTTGTTCCGTAAAAATTTGTCAGGACGCCAGCAACGAATAAAAGCGCGAGAGTGCTTTTAGTGACCGACTAGTATATACCCATTACTGTACTTCCGTTTTAAACTCTATATTATAGGTATTCTGTCCAAGATCAGACTAGACTATATCCATAGAATATTTTGTTGAATATTTTTAATTTATTTTTTTGTATCTTAAAGATATTTCAAGTTTGCAGCCGTTCAACCCTAAACCTCCTAAACCACCCAAATAGATATTGAAATGAGAACTTCTCCCCTGTATCTCACTCTTCACTCAATTTACTTGTCATTGAAATAAATCTGCTCCTCAAGTAGCTATTTATAATACCAAAGTCAACAATCCCAGTCGAATGCGAACATCTGTTTCCTTCCTGCACTTGCTCCAGGCGGAACTTTCAGCACAAGTGAAAATCATGTTCATTGCGCCAAGTCAAATAATTGATCAAATACAATTGTATAATAGTTTGTCATCTGAAAAGTAAGTCGATAATGCGCTACTACCAAATGTGTGTCAAATTTAAGCAGGTTCTCAAAAATATACATATATTTCCTCTTAAATTGAGCACAATTCAACATATGAACATCTGTACATACATACATACATATGTATGTATCTCATGCATGCATGCAAGCATGTGTGCTCTTTATTTATTTGCCAAGACAATTTCGCCGACATTATTCTTAATGTTTTGGGTGTAAGACATACAAATGTACATAAAATATGTATACATATATTCATAATTGATCGCGTATGCTTTTTGAACATACATACTTATTTGGGATTCATACGAACTTATCGTACAAAGAAAACAAATGAACGATTGCTCTCATCCAATAAAGTCCGGCCGGAAGCACGGGGGTAGTCTGATTTAGAATTAATTAACTCCGTTGAAGTTACATTTGAAAGTGTCGACAAACATGTTAAGTGACAGGCATGTACATGCATGCATATATGTACATAAACATAGTCATATAATGATATACTTTCGAGCCCATGCGAATGCAATAATACTTTCGACCGCTGTTCAAAATTAACGAACATAAATTTATATTAATGCACGCATACACACACAGGCGAGAGAGAAAGCAAGCAGTGCAGTGCGCACTGCTTTGATGCACTAGACAATTGCTCTCACGTTCGCTCTCGCTCGCAATCTCATTTCACTCCCTCTCCGAGAGAGGCTCTCGACCATGGCGGCGATCTTTAATAAATAGCCTGTTGCTTGAATCGTCTGCTCAGTCTTTTCCGTTACTTCAAGGCGGACGTGTGGCGTTTGTCCGTTGATGTGCAAAGTGCCGAATTAAAAATACACACCACGTTACAAATATATAAATATTCAAACAGAAGAGAGCATATCTATGCCACACATACGAGTCTATAAGTGAATTAACATAAAAACATGTGCGCTCAAGAGGTGCTGAAGCATTGTGAATAAATAAAAAAGGAAAATCGGTAAATCAACAGAAGCGCAAAAATACATACATATGTATGTGTATATGAACAAATTGAGTTGTTATTGTGACCAAGTGTTATACATACATTAGTGTGCGTAAAGTCTACGAATAAGTGGGCACATGTATGAACGTGACCGCACTCATTAATTAAATCGCGTTTGTGTGTGAGCTCCCGCGAATCCGTTAAAATTAAAATTTAACGATTTCTTGCCTGGCGTCTTTCCACAAAAATAATAGCATACATATATGCATGCAAGAGGATTACTTGGATTTGAGAGAGCTTGCAAAAAAGTAAGAATATTTTGAAATAGGATGTCGTTTATGACCCGCTACACAAATGAGTAGTGCTCTCTAACGAAAAGAATCATTCCTGTGTGTTTAGAGCAATACGTTTAATAGAGTGCTAAGACTCTATGAGCTCACTAGAGAAGGCCTATTTAATCGAAAATTATTATAGTTTTTGGAATTTATCTATATGTATGTAAATATTGCACAGGGTCATTGCTGCTCACTTCTTATATACATATTTACATACATAGGTCAGACTGGCAATCTGGCAATTACTGTAAATATATTAGTTATAAAGATCACTCTTTATAAATTTTGTAAGACTGGTAATCTAAACAATAAAGCTCGAAGTCACACCCGCGAAAATTCATCTAACTCCATACGCTATTTCAAGTTAACGATTATAAATTAAATTGTGTAAAAAGTGTATGTGAATACACTTAGCGTATTCTGATTAGCTACAGAATTTTAATTAATGGTTGCAAGCTTACACATCCCTTGTACATATCGTTGATAGACTGAAATGTAAATACTTTTGGAATCTACCATCAAAAAAGTCGTTGCCCTCTCCCGAAACCCATAAACACTTCCTCTAGCTGGTCCCAGTCGCGGCAAGAGATGTTATTTTTGTGTGAGGCGCAAAAATTTTGGTTGCATTGGCTGGTGCCTATTTTGGAAACTTGTTCTATTTTTAATGCGACACTCGGCTAGTGTACTCATTCCTATTTTTCCAATGTGCATCGAAATCATTCTCTGTAGGGAAGCACGGATTGCACTCGCTCCAAACCAACGTTTTGCTTCCGATGATATCGATTTTCATATTAAATACAATTTGTAATTGATTTTTAATTGAAATGGTTAGACACCCAACAAATTAAGCAATTTGTGAATCAATTAGTAGTAGGGCTTGGTCTGCTCTATATAAGGCCAAAAAGACTGATTTTCCAATCAAAGTAAGGCGAAGAACGGCCATGGGTTCGGACAACATCAAAGGTTCGCGAGCTTTGGTGCGAAACCTTAAGTTTTGTAGACTGTGGCCCCACCGCAGCTCAGTTTCATCCACTTCTACGTCCGCACCACGCAGCAGATTGGTCGAATTGATAAAGTCATTCACGCTGCATTTCTTTGTGACCTTTGCTTTCACGGCCATGATGTGGATTGAGGCTATAAGCAGCGAGGACTTCGAGCATTGCACAGATGTGCTGTTCATTACGCTGACGATGACAAGTCTGGTGGCAAAGATTTTCAACAACTGGCATCATGCTAAAATTGCTCGCGAATTACTCGAGGAGTGGAGCGACAGTCCACAGTTTGAAGTTCGTTCCGGCCCGGAGCGGGATATGTGGGAGCGGGAACAGCTTCACTTTTCACGGGTCGCCCTCCTGTACTCCTTCTGCAGCCTGGGCGTGGTGCCGTGCATCTTCGTATCCGCGGCATACAACTATCCAAATGAATTGCCGTTTTTGGTGTGGGTGCCCTTTGACTGGCAGAAGCCCGCAAAATTCTGGTGTCTATACGCTTATCAGCTCTTCGCAGTGCCATTTACCTGTCTGTCGAACCTAACGTCGGACCTACTCAACTGCTACCTAATGCTGTACATTTCGCTCTGCTTAAAGATGCTGGGTATGCGTCTGGCTGTGCTTGCTCCAACTGAGCATCGCGACTCTGAGCGCCAGCTGCGTGTGCAGTTGCTGGAGCTTATTGGGCTTCATAGGCGCGTCAAGGCCCAGGCTGAGAAGATTCAGATCTTCATCTCAAAGAGCACGCTTATTCAGATCTTGTTGAGCTCCATAATATTGTGCCTCTCCATCTACCGCATGCAGATGGTAAGTGAATAGTCGACGACGTCATGTGACATTGTGCGTAACTCCACTTAATTATTCCTCGCCAGCTCAATGTGTTCCAGGCACCGAGCATCTTCTTAGCTATGGCAGAGTATTTATTCGCAATGACCATGCAAATCTATTTGCCCAGCATTTATGGGAACGATGTTACCCACAACGCTGATCGGTTGCCAACTGCTCTCTATAGTTGCTCTTGGCCCGATATGTCGAAGCCAATGCGTCGTCTGATACTCTGTTTTATGATCTACCTGAACCGTCCTTTGGTACTACGTGCAGGTGGCTTTTTTGAAGTGGGCCTACCACTTTTTACCAAGGTACAATTGAGTTCATGTGTTAGATATCGTTCTATCCACATTATTTATTACAGACCATGAACCAAGCTTATAGTCTTTTGGCCTTGCTGCTCAACGTGAACAACAAGTAAGCCTGAGATAAATAATCTATGCAAATAATAATATAAATAACTATGTACCTTCAAATAAATTAATAAAGAGAGTACTTTTTTTTGGGGTTCTCATGTGTGTTATATATCGGAGTCTAAAATGTTGAGATGTTTGCATCAGCATCAATAATAATTATTGAAACGCCAGATATTCCATTTCTCGTATATTATAAGAAAGCCCAATATTCAAGATACCATATGCAGCTTGGCTTTTCTTCAAGAATAATAATGAAAGATTTCCTTAAAAGTTTCGCATACTTTTTATACCCTGAACCCATAGAAAATGGGCAATCAGGGTATAATGGTTTTGTTGTATGTAACAAGCAGAAGGAGGCGTGGCAGCTCCCACAAAGTATATATGTATGTATAAGAGCGCGGATATCGAGTTTATCTCCAAAAATCGATAACTCTTCTCGTTATTTTGTTATTGATTAGAAACCAGCTTGTAAAAAGCGTATTTCAAATACAAGAGACTTCTGCTTTGCCAAATGCATACATTTCTTACATTTTACATTTATAATCACGATCTGAAAGTATTGTATTCAATATAATTCATCAACTGAGTAGCAACTAGTGACGTTCAAACATTTGCAAAAACTGACTAACTCAAAAGTTATTTGTTATGTTGTATCATCAAATATGTACGTTTGTTTGTTTTTGTTTGCTTTTGCGTGAAAATGCACCAGTAAAATTCTCATTTCTGTGTGCATACTTTGACACTGATAAACAGGGGGTGATGATGTATGAGCATTAGTAAAATTCATTATTAACATACACGATAGAAAGCAATGCAAAACATTAAATAATCAAACTGATTAGAATCATAATACTCTCGAAAATCATTATTAGCAGGGGTGTATAGGGTATCTGCTAATCATAGCACACGACAAAAAGCAGTGCAAAAATTTAAATAAATAAACTGATCAGCATGTYAATACTCTAGAAATCATTAATCAGTAAGGGGCATGACCTCAGGGCCGGAGATAAGGAATTCTGCTGCTGATCGATTGTAATTTTATTTGTGTTCAATTTATATTTATGCAAGTAAAAGAACAAGTTTCCAACAATTCCAACCCCTGCCATAATTCTGATTTTATTGAGATTTTTTTTTGTGGCGGCATTGCCACTTCAGCTTCAACAATCAAGTCAGGGTAAATGCAACGCCACGCCCACGCCTTGTCGGTGTGTGGTGTTAAGCAACGAACATGATCAGAGATTGTTTTCTGCTCTGATGTGGGACGTAAATGGGGAATGTAAATGTGTTAAATGCAACGCTGAAATGCGTTTCTCAGCAACGAATCCGTAAATATTTTGCTTTCATATAACTATAAACAATAAATATTTATGTCGTGTAGCGATGGAAAGAAGCTTTTCGAAGAGAAGTTTGACAGATGCTTGGTGTTTAAACTGCCAGCCTTGATGTAGCAGCAACATACATCCAATATGTCTGCAACTGTTGATTGTTTACAATGCTAAAGTCGTCCACAAATTGTTCTTTTAGAGTTTGTTGTCGGAGTGCGCCGTCGATGATCAGCACTGGCCCAAGGAACTAATACTGTTGCGAGAGAAGTTTACGGCCAAGAGTCAATTGGAAATAACCCAGCTGAATATCAAACATGCCGAAGAGGTGAGCTACAGAAATTCGCAATATACGCATTATCTCTTACAGCTGTACTTCTACTAGATGTCGCGGATGAAACTGGAATATGAGAAGCAACTCAACCGCAAGAACAAGCGGCATTTGACGTTTGACTCGGGCCGTGATTTGCAGCACATAATAACCGAGCGAGATGGTTTACGGGAACTATCGAAGAGCTTCCGCAGCGTGCTCTGCCGGCTGGCCAAGTGTGTGGCCAATTGCGAGGGTGACCTGAATGCCACTCTATCGGAGGAGATGCAGCGCTTACTGACGCAGAGTCGCAGTCAGGATGGTGGTGACGATGTGGAGCACACGTTGAGCAGCTCCTTGTTGCAGGGCTCGTTCAACAATTCGAAACACCTGCGCATGGTCCCGGATGTGCACAGTCTCCTGGAAGTGGTGGAGGATCCCAGTCTCGTGCAGTTTATCGACAGCAAAAACCCCGACGATCAAAATGATTACTTTGATCTGGGTGACTGCCTAGAGCGCCTGAAAGCAGAAGCCGCTTACCTGCTGCAACTGTCTGAGGATCTTGAGAAGCAGCGTGCCATTCAGTCTGTGGACCGGCAGGATGAGCCAGAGAAACAAGAGCATGAGTTGTGCTGTGAAGCGGAGGACGGCTTAAAGACCACAGCTCCATTGCCATCAACTCAGCAACAGTTGCTCCACGACCTACTACGCACCAACTCTCTGAACGATCAGAACCTCGGCGTTGCTCATCAGCGTAGGACCAGCAATGGTGCCCTGGGGACCAAGTCACATAGCTCGCTGCCGGTCGACTTGCAGCAGCAGTCGGGCAATGCTTCGGAACTCAGCTTCCAACTTGTAGAGTTAAAGAATCGATTGATCAAATCGGAAGCAGACCGACAGAATCTGCAGCAACAGCTGACGCATACCATCGATTGCAATGCGGAGCTGGGCCAGGAGCTACAGGCGTTGCGCGATCAGTTGTCGCAGCTGAACTCTTTAAACCACACAGATTATGCCGAAGGTTACGGCCTTGGTGACATGAAGAGTTCGCAGACTCTGGATCAGTCGTCCGCCAGCTTTGTACAACTCCAGGAGAGGGCTCGCCATTTGCTGACCTCGCCCACGCAACAGCAATCCCAAGAGCCGGGCAACGCAACGGTTGTATTACTCCAGATGATAGAAGACTTCTGCCGCGAGGGTGACAAGGTGGTAGAATCGGGCAAGAAGGATCGTGAGGATCTTCAGTCGCAGGTAAGCTACTCCTTAGATAATATCCCTCATATGCTACAAATACATCAAGAGATAATATGTCAAGTGTCTAACGCATGATCAGTAGATTACCCGCTGAGCGCGCCTAGTTGTAAGCCAAGTATCAGTTTAGGTTATATTACCTTCCATCCATGCTATACCACAACCATAGATCGATACCGCCGACAAGCAGCTGAAGGCGACGCGCCAGTTCCTGGAAGAGCAGGCCGCCGAACGCGAGCAGGAACGCGATGAATTTCATCGTGAAATCGAACGGTTAAAAGTGCAGCTACGTGAAAAGGAAAAGGAACGCAGCTCTTTTGCCAATGCCTCTGAGGAGGTGAGTGCCCTTTCCTGTCAAGGGTCTTTCCGTCATATATACAGTTATACATATAAAATGACTTTGATTTGGAATTGATCGAATGTTAATTTTATTTATCTATTGTTTGGTTCGCAAACGGGTTTCATCTTTTATTTCTGGACTGTTCGCTGATAATACTTTTATGTTTTTGTAATTTGTTGATTCTATTCTACAATAGACAAGGTGTCCTTCTTACTAGTATATTGCACTGGCTCTTAAGTCAAAACTATAAGCAACATTATTTTCATTACTATTCAAAGATGTGCACACTTCTACTTAGTTTCCTTGAGTTCTTTCATTAACGCTGTTTTAAACGGTGGACTGCTTCCAATGATTTCGATGCCAAATTATTTCGTATGCCTTATTAAAAATACAGTATCATAAGCATTCGGCCACCCCCTGGCGTGAGTTTGTTTGTTTTTAATATCGAAGTCAAGGGCAGCATCCACACACAAGTATATACATATATATCCATACGTATGTTTCGTAAGCATGTGCCGATGTATTTATAGCTACTACAGAAAACGATAATTTTGTTTCCAAATGCTTTACATTGAATATTGCTTTAAAAGACACTAATATTGAATTCATGAACTTCTAACTCTAATTGAAACTCTTAGCATGCACTCACATTAATAATTAATAAATAATACTCATTTCCAATGTACCTAAAATATAACTGCACCTGCAATTCAACTGCACTTCGAAAACAATTTAAGTTAAGGGGAATGGAGGAGACGCATGTAAGTTGTTAACTAACTGTAACACTGTAAGAAAAGTTTCACGCACCACACTTGGAACAGAAATTAGTTTTAATTAGATCTGAAAACTAATAGAATGGCTGTGTGATCCATTTTCATAGTACGCTATTCTGGAGGCCCAACTGCGCGAGGTGAACCAGCAGCTGAGCGACTCCAATGACAAACGGGATAAAATGGAAACGGAACTGAAGGCATCCATAGACAAGATCTTTGTGCTGCGCGAGATCATTTCGGAGCTGGAAACACAGGTGCAGACCAAGGCGCTTAATGAGCAGGTGCTGGACGAGAAGGTCAAGCAACTGGAGGACTATATACAAATACAATTGCGCTCTAATGACGCGCTCACACAGGAGGTGCACAGCCTAAAGACAGACATAGGCGAGAGCTACCAGACGCGTATTCGCCAGCTAGAGGAGAAGCTCCAGCACGGATTGCCCTCAGCCGAAACTGCCGTGGTACTGAAACAGGTGGCCGACCAACTGCTTCTGATTGAAACAACTCTGGAGCAGAAAACCAAGACTCTGGAGTCACTTCACAACTCTAACACAACCTCCAACTCGTGCAGTCTTAGTGCCACAGAGGATGTCTCCGCCCACGGTGCCAACAGGCAGCCAGCTGAAGGGTCGCCCAAACACTCGCAGACGGTGGAGGGAGTGCAGCGCGTGGTCGAGAAACTGGAGAAGCACACGCGTGTGGAGGAAGCTGCAATCAAGCGTATACGCGATTTGGAAATGCAAGTCACCCAAATGCGTAGTGGCTGTGTGGTGAGTACAGATAAATAAACCTCTAGAGCTTTCGTGGTGACTATCCAGATATTGGTTAATGTCTTCGCTCAAGATCAATAAGGAAATTGTTTGAAGTAGTGATAAATGTGCTATTGTGTATGATTGCAAACTAAATATAATATGACAAGCTTTCCGTTTTTGATGCCGTGTGCCCTAATTAGAATTTTGGAGTACTTTGCCACCTAATTAACTCTTCCAATATATTTCAATGTTTATTTATTTCCAAAGCCAGCACAGTTTTCGAGGCACTGTTCTATAATATTAGTTTTTGTCTTAGGTTTCAACAGTTTTGAAATCACTGTGGGCTGTGTGCTAAATTATTGTTTTTGTGGGCTGTTAATATGCAAACAGTTTGCGACGCACTGTGCTGTGCTAAACAAGTCGTTCAATCGAACATTTTTGTACATACCCTGGCAATGGTACAGTTTTGAAGCATTGTAGAATTATCCAATAAGCATCCAAAGAGTAAGTTTGAATGCCATCGTTCTTCAGCTCTCAGTTCGTTAGTCGATCAGTTGCCTACAGAACGTCTCCCGCGTCGCACATTGAGATAATTGTGTTTGGTTAGGCATTTAAGTGCTTTTTGCATCAGTTCATTAGAAAAAATATATAATTTAATAAACATTAATAAAAAATGCTGAAGTGACATGTTGCTGAGTTCAAAAGATGTGCCTAACTTCACTATGGGGCCCATTCGAGTGAGTTGCTGTAGTTGGAATGTGCAGTCGGGGTGTTTTGCTTGTATAGATATAATTGAAACTCAATTGGCATGCATACATAAACAAGTACATACATATGTGCGAGTATATGGGAATTATAATGTTTGACAAGGTTGGCTAGGTACACAGACAAGTGCACAATATATGCCTCGTACAATTTCCCACCTATTTATAGGAAAATGTACGGAAAGTGGAACAGGCAGCTCCATTTATTCTCCCAGTTTGTTCCGTTTTAGTAGCACCCAATAGCACCCAATTGTACCTAAATAAATCTTCTGAGGGGCCTTTTAATATACCTGGGGCTGTCTGCGGCTGTTCCTTCCCTGTGTTTACACTATGCAGCACGCCACGACAAAAGTCTCGTTGAAAGACGAGGGAGGAGCTCGTGCAGAACAGAGGCTTCCTCAATAGAGTTCTTTGTTGGCAGTGGGTAGCCGCTTTAAAGAACACAAATATATATACAGGCCCAGAATGGATACGTATATCTCAGTATCATTTGTGCACCATCATTTGATTTCGTTCAATTTGCCTTAATTGAAGTTGGAAAGGGTTGGTCCGTGCAGAGGGGATCAATGGAACGGTCGTTGATCTGGGCAACATAGTGTAGAATTGAAAAGTCTGACCTCATCTTTTGCATTTGCAGGAATTGCAGCACGAGCGTGACTCGCTGCAGGGGCGCATTGATGAGCAGACGCATCGCATTTCGACGCTGCAAAAGCGCCTGGAAGAGCAGCGACAGCGCGCCGAGCAACTGCATCGGGCGGGCACTTCTGATCTCAACACACGTATTCACGAGCTTCAGAACGATGTGCGCAATCTTGGCGAACAGCTGTCCGCGCGCGATAAGCAAATGGCCACAATGCAGCAGCAACTGCAGCGCAGCAAAGACGAGATAGTGCGCCTGGAAGCTGAGCTCGCAGTGCGCACACAGCCAGATCGCAGTCTGGTTGAACGCTTGGAGGCCGAGGTGCTGCAGAAGGGCAACGAGTTGCAAAAGCTCAGGGAGACTATACACACGGAAATGATAAATCGCCAAGCGCTGCCTGATCTAATGCAAACAATGCTGGCTGATAAGAACGACGAAATTGACCATTTGCAGGAGCAATTGCAAGCGAAAGAGCGCGAGCTACAGGCGGCTAAGGACCACAGCAGCCAGGCTTCCTCTCCGGCAGCTGGCAAACAGGACGCGAGTGGTAAGCACAGCGCCCGAACATTGAGTGACATTGGCTCAATCACCGAGTTCCCTGAACCGGATGTCGAGCGTCGTGCAACGTGCCGCAGTCTCAATGCTCCCCTTCAACTGCCTGAGGCTGCGGGCGGCTTTTTCCATCAGACAATGGTAAGTGCAGTTACAAGGGTTGAAGTGCAGCTATATTAAGAAGAATCCTTCTCTTGCAGGAAACCTCAAAGGAAGCTGTCGCGAATCTCACGTACAAACGCACAGACGACTTAAGTGAATTTGTGGTAGCTCATCCTGTCAATACTTTTGAGCACCCGCACTACTTTCAGGATCAAAATGCGCGCGGCTTGACCACTGCGATCAGTGGGGATCTCACACCAGGCTTGGTGCCGCGACAGATCAATTTCTCGAATTTAACAGAGGACTCTAAGCTAAAGACTCCCAGCTTGTTGATGCAGACACCTGAGCTACCTAAGGCGATGCCGTCGCCCGAGCTTCAGCAGCTGAAGCAAAAGCTTTCAGCCCTGGAAGAGGAGAAGCATAAGCAGAGAATAGAAATGGAGGCAAATCTTGTAGATTTGCAAGAGCAACTCTCGCGCGAGAAAAATTTGGTTGAGCGGCAACAAAAACTACTTCGGGACCACGAGGAAAGCGAGAAGAAATACAGGCTGCGTGTAGACTCGCTTGAGGAGAAGATTCTGGAGAACGCCGCCCAGGAGGCGGCTGAGCGAGAGACTCTGCGGAAGGAGCTGAATTTAGTGAGTGCAGCGCATGCGCAATGTGAGCAACAACATAAGGATGCGGCTGCGACTCGAAAGCGAGAGGTTGAGAGCCTGAATGCAGAAATCAAGGAAAAGACTTTGCGCAATCGAGAGCTGGCTGATCAGCTGCAGTCGGCACAGCTGCGCAGTGAGGACCTACAGCGCCAGGTGCAAGCCTTGGAACGAGATCTGGAGCGACTACGGAATAGCGAGCAGAGCTCCAAGCAGTATTCGGTTGACGAAATCGCCCAGCAAGTGGAGAAAGAGCTTAACTACTCTGCCCAACTGGACTCGAATATTCTCAAAGCTATTGAGAGTGAAGAGGAGAATAACTTGGACAAGCTTCATCAAAAAGATGTACAGACGGAGGCTGATCCCTCACGTGGAAATGGAAATGGACACGGCACCGACGACGAGAACTTTACTGGTGAACGCGATCTGCTGAACCAGCTAGAGGCAGCTAGAGCTCAGCTAGCCGTAGAGCGGGAACAAGCTGAATCGTTGAGCAAAGAGCTCCTCAGCGAGAAACAGCACTCGCAGGAAATCCAGGAGCAAGATGTGCTCATCATTGAGGCGATGCGTAAGCGCCTAGAAGCTATGCTAGAGGCTGAAGACGAGCTGCACAAGCAATTAGACATGGAGCGGGAGCGTTGCGATAGGCTACAAACACAGCTTACCTCCCTGCAGCGAGCAGAGAGTCGGCGTAGCAGCGGGCTACTGAAGTCGCCTACGGACTCGCCTCGCAAGTCACCTCGAGCAGACTTCGAGTCTGAGCTGTGCGACCGACTGCGCAGCGAGCTGAAACTGTTGACGGCCCAAAATGAGCGGGAGAGAGAACGATCGGCAGATGCTCAGCGCAGCAGTGAGCGTGAGCGTCAAAGGTACGAAAAAGAGCTCCAGGAGCGTGTGGCATACTGTGAGCGTCTTAAGCAGGAGATGGAGAAGCTTGCTCGCGACAAGGAATCGGCAGAAATGGAGCTCGAGCATTTCAACGAGCGTTTGACCCTGCAAGCTAACGAAATTGAGAGCTTGGAGGCGCGTATGGTCACACTACAAGAAGCAGAGACGCGGCGCGCCAGCACAAGAGCTCGCCAGCATCAGGAACAGGCGAAATTGCAGGCCGAAATTCACGAGTTAAAGGCGAAGCTGTTGACGGCAGAGTCCGAAAAGAACAGTCTGGACCTGAAGATAAATCAGCTGCGCTTTGATGTGGCCCGTTCATCCCAGCGCGAGTCGAAATTATCGGAAGCCCTGGCTCAGGCCAACGATCGCTTGGCCCATAGCATGGAGGAAACAGTGCCCGCACAGTTCCTGCAAAAAATGAAGGAAATCAACACACTGTTGGCGGAGAACACTCAGGAGAACAAGCAGATGGCCGAAACAGTACAGTATCTTGTCGGAGAGCGAATCGCGCTGCAAAAGAAGTGCGAGGAGCTTGGCGGCAATGGGGGTGCGAATACCAGCGAACTGGAGGAACGATGTCGGCAGCTGCTTGGCCGCTACCTGCGCGTCGAGAGTCATCGCAAAGCGCTTGTCTATCAGAAGCGCTACCTGAAGCTTACTCTGGAGGGCTATCAGGCGAGTGAGCAACTGGCGCTGCAGAACATCGCTGGGGGAGCTGGGTTCAAAGTCAGCCAGCCGAAGCCCAACAAAAAGAAATTATTCAAGTAAGTATTGTTTTGTATACCTTGTTAACTCCCTAGCTAATTCATGTTCATCTCTTTTAGGACTGTCGCTCTGGCCATTATTGCCATACAACGCATCAAATACATTGGTCGCATTTGGCACACGGGCAAGCGGATCGTGAGCAAATCGATATTTACAATAACTCAACAAAGGTGAGGCGGACTGTTGAATATTGGACTTCAAAGAGAGCTCCTTTCCTTAACATGTGCTGTGCATAACTACTCTCATTGTTTTTTACTCCGTGTAGCACCAAACTGCCTCTAGTGACAGTCAATATGAGAGTCAAGTTAAGCAAAGGCGATTCCGCCCATAAATAGATACCCATGAGGCTTGGTGCCAAAAGGTCTGCTACATCCACTTGATAACACTCAGATTCACTTACCACCAACAATTTTTATCGTATCAGCAAAAAGTTGCAACCTTATTCAGTACCTGTATAGAATCCTTTTCATATTGATGATCAGTTTTGTAGTTCGTTCCCACTTCGATTGGCTCTATCACCCACTAGCACCAGGTGCACCACTTGTATGATTTCTAATGTCATTTTTCTTGCAGAACTGGCCCGTGTCTCAATCTGAATGTGGCTCCGCCTTTGCCCGTCAACCAACCTCAACAGAGTGCTAGCCTCAACAACAATTTGCCCACCAATTCTCACAGCACTGCAGCACGTATGAGCTACGCACCGGCCTCTCCGTCCCTCGCACCAGCCGTGAACTTTAGCACCTTGCAGCCCATCGTTCTGACTCAGGACTACGCCTTGCAGACGTCGGCGCCCTTCAATAACAACAATAATGACAGCAGTCATAAAAAGTTGGAAGCGACGCTGCCCTCGCTGGCAACGCTTGACTGGACGACAACACAGAAGGCCAAGAGGGTACATTCACGGCATCATTAGCACACGCACAGGAATCATAGAAAACATGCTCAAAATATGCCATTTAGATGTCCCCTTCGTATTACAGCCATTAATAATAGACGATGTTTTAGAGTGTTGTGTAGTTATGAATTACTTGTAAGTACCTAGAGTAGAGCCGAAAATCCTCAACAAACCCAGCATCAGACACGAATGTTAATATACCAATAATGTACCAATTAATTGTTTAAATTTTAATATTATTATTCTTTGGACCTGACTTTATCTCACTCCCAGTATTTAGATTAGTGTTGATTCATTTGTTAAATTAATTAGCTGAGACATATCCACATAAATTACCTTAATTTCGTTTAATTTGTAGGCCTGAGTGACTGTCTTAATTGTTTATAGGCTGATTAAAGCTAACTTATCCACAATTTAAGGTGTCAATTATTTTTTTATCATTTGAGTTTGTCTCGTTTGGCAGAAAATAATGGAACATATTTCGCATGTGCCTTAGTTGTGTGAGAAGGGCTAATGAAGCATTTAATGTTGAACTTGTAAAAATAATTCATGAGAGTTTGTAATAAAAATATCGCTGAAAAGTAATTAAGTTTACCCGATGAATTGATGAAAACGCATTTGCATACTGTGTATAAGCTAATAGAGCATCTGCAACAGGTGGGAATGAAAAGCACAGTGGTTGAAGCTGGCCCTGGAAAGCGACTTCGAAGAACATTCCGAGGGGATGGCTGTCAATCGAAATTAACTAACGCTGATTGCTGCATAGACAGTCGAGGCAATTACGTTTTAGCCTCGTTATCAAAACATCAGCAGTCCGCAGCCGAAGCATCCGCCGGCCATTTCAATAATCTGTGACTGATAACAGGCGAAAGCTTTTTGCGAGGCGAAGGCTAAAGCCCGCAAGGAGCTTTTTGCGAGCAGTACGACTCCGCTACTGGTGACTGCATTTATAGCATATGGTAGTAATCTATTCCGCAGCGACTACCATTAGATATCCTGGCGTTGTCAGAATCAGTTGGAGTCTGGCGAGCAAGGCGTTAGCTGCTGCAGCTACCATTTCAGGTGTATCGACCGAATCCATAAACATCTATCAAGGCTTTAAGATACATTTTCCGTGTGCTCCCATTGGATGTGTTGTAAATAATACATAACAAAATTAACAATTATGTGGCGCGTTCGTAAGACGTAGAGATTTCGAATTTGTAACGATTGCCGCTGCTCTATAAAAGAACTACTGAATAACCGAACTCTGTAACCCAACAATTTGTCGACCCGAAACATTGCATTGCTATTTAGTCGTGGGTAAGTTATAGATATTTATTATAAAATGAAAGTTAGTTAAGTAAACCCAATTGTATAAGCTTTGTTTCAAAACCGGAGTTTAAAAATAAACTCTGAGGCGACTTAAGCTTAATTTTACGTCTTTATAAGATAAAAACGTCACGTGAAAAAATGAAAACAAATAAAATATTTTATGCTTCTACTCTGATTCTTGGTTGAATAGAACTCGACTAAAATAAACATATGCGGCATGTGTAAGGCTGCGTCGAGAGCAGCCACCCTTTGAACTCTTGCCTCGTGGGCACGGAATTATGCACTCACATATAGCAACACGCTTGTAACCCTTGATAAGATAGCCACGCTATCATCAGGCATTGCTTATAAAAAGTTTGTATCATTCTATAATTTTTGTTTGACAATATTCGTTATGCCGGGCAGATAGTTTTGCTGCCACGCCTACTCTTATTGGTATATCCATATCCATATATAAATAAATATAAGTATATGACGTCAATTGGCAATTACATCGATACCGTGCCGAAAGACATACACACATATATGATTTTCGCCCTACTTATCTGACGCTGTCACTGACTGAGATAATCAAAGTAAACAACTTGATTCAAGTTTATTAATTAGTTTATCTCGCTGTCCGTCCTGTTATATGCTTTGGTTTAGTTTCCTGTTTTCCTGATTTATTCATTTTTTGTTGTTTCAATGTTTCATTGTTTGTTTACAGAGTTCAAAGAGTATATAGACCTGACAATAATGAGTGCATTTAGCCGTCTAATAAATACTCGTGTACTCATACCTGAGATATATTATTCAGATTATAGTTGCATATCTTCCATAATTGTGAAATAATTAAGATCAATTTAGCTTCAGAAACAATCGGATTTGTGAATGCTACTTATAGTAGTTGTACTTTTTGGGTCTGTAGCGCTTGAACCATAGGTTTAATTATATTTATATTGTCATCGTTAAACAGAGCTCGCCAAAAATTTAGCCGTATTGCAAACAATATAATAATTAATTTCTTTTCTACTATTATTTAGATGTTTTTAGCGCTTCAAATGAAGTCAATTAGAGAGCGTAAGAGGGTACAATAACTGAAGTTTTATTTGAACAGCTTTTTAAGCCGCCGTAGACTTGTTTTCGGATTCTTTCTAGAACATACAAAGAAACACTTGTTCTAATGGCAACCTCCCAAACCGTTGTTAACTTTCCTCAAGCTAAGTAAATACCTCGACCGCTTGACGCTTGAGATTCGCATAATATGCACGTTTAAATTATAACAATAGGTGGGTTCAGTGAAATTCATTGAATCAATATGCATGGCAAAATTGAAGTACTCGTTTTGCGATAAAAGCAGCCAACAGTGCGAATCGGAATCAGTAGAGGACAGGACTTGAAATTCAAAATGCGTTGCCTCAAATCGTATGTATTCATCACCTTGATGGCCGTTGTGGCGGCGCAGGCACCAAGTATCAGTGTTCGTGCACCACTCTTACGCAAGCCCCTCATCAAGCTGGCCGTCCAACCTGCCATTGTCAGTGAACCAGTTGCCGTAGCTGCAGTTGAGGAGGACCCAGCGGGAGTAGTGCCCGCTGTAGCTGCTCGTCCCATTCTTCCCTTGGTTAGCCCCCAGTACTGGGGACAGTTCGGTGCCCAGAACTATGGCCCGTATAACCCATACGGCTTCAACCCATACTGGGGCGGATTCGGTCAGGTCCGACCCAGACGCTTTGGCCGCCGCTTTTGGGGTCCTCGCGTCGTGGTCGCCGCAAGCACAGTTGCGCCTGTCACAGATGACGATGAAGTTCCTGAAGCTGTTGCCAATACTGATGAGGTCGTGGAAGCAGCTCCCCAGATAAACTAACAGCTTTGCGGTGACTTATCACATTTCACCATATGGGAATTTGATTTCAATAAACAGTTCTGAGGTCGCTACACTTTTTGCATAAACAATAAAAATCGGTTTATCTTATCGAGTAATTTGCAAATGCTCTATGCTTGTTAAAATATCAAAAAGGAACGTAAACACGGCGCCCCAGTCAGTCATCAAAGTCAATTGCAGAGCTCCCAACTCTGCCATATGGCGCAATATTGGAAAATCCAATCAAAATGTTAATTCGACGACAGGCCAGGCACGCTTTATGCTAAGCCCGCGCAAAAACCTGTTGGCATTGTTATGCAAAGTTTGATGGCTATGTGTACCAGCTCTAGCTGGGCAACATGTTCCATGCTCCATGCTCCATGCTCCATGCTCCATGCTATATATTTATACCACGTTTCGAAGTGAATGAAAGTATTGGCTGAGTAAAATTTCCGTTTTGTCGTTTTTTCCTTTTTGAATAGCATAAAAAATACTGAACCTATTTGAAGTATGATTTTGCCATCAAAACTTACATTATATCTGATCAACATCGACTATAGCACATTTTTAGACACTACAGTAAATAACAAGTAAGAAAGTTCTAGTCGAGACTGCCCGACTACTATGAAACCCCCTGAACCCTTCGAGCAGCTGATATTTCAATAATTATTCGCACATGCACACACACAGGCATCTAAATATATATTTAAAATTTGAAGACTCTAGCTTTAAATATGTAGGAGATATAATTTTGACTGATTTTCCATAAGGTTTTCAATCGATAACAAAATAGTGGAATGACATCGATTTTTGAAGATAAACTCGATATGCGCCCTATATATATGGACATTTTAAAATTTGAAGTCTAGCTATAATATCTTCTGAGATCGACGCGTTCATACATTTGGAGAGACGGACAGACGGACGGACATGGCCAAATCGACTCAGCTCGTCGCTCCGATCAAGAATATATATACTTTTCTTTCTTCCTTTCTTCCTTTTTTGCCATGGATTTTGCATACTCAATTCAGGAGCACTTAGTCAAGGATTATCTTCGATTTTCTTGACGAAATGGGTATTTCAGACACATTTAAGCTGTTTCAGGACAGTGACCCAAAATGTGAACCCCTAATGTGAACCGTTATCAAGAGAACTCAAATTTGGTCAGTTGTTAAAGAAAAACCCGAATATTAAAGTAACGCCAAATTTTGGGGTTTTTCGGCTTATGTATAGTTTTTGTTAGTTATATTAAATATACCATATTGTTATGCAATTTACAATTTAGCATTTTCACTTTTTCAATTTCAGCTAATATTACATGTTTTATATGCAGTTGAAGTTGAAAAAAAAAAACGAATATTAATGTTAGATGTCGCATCTAAGCATTAACATATATATGCTTGTATGTGATTAGTATATTTTAATTCAGCCACCAAGTATGTAAGCTAACTGTTGTAGTTTCTTTTATGCTTGTAGTTATGTTCATACGTTCAATATAGGGTAGTTGGTGTTGCTCATATGACGGATTATCCCTGAATGAAAATATACAACTAAAATTCTAACATACTCGCAATATCTGCGAGCTTCTTAAAGACTTTGCCTTTACTATTTGAGCCCCTGGTAAATTGTCAAAGCTTAAGCCCACAGTTATTGAGCTATAGTCGCTCCAATTGATAGGTATACTACTGTTGGCCCTCTTTTAAGATTGGCCATCCCCAGATATAGAGCCAAAGAAGACAGTATTTTACAGCTCCAGAAACAGATCTGTAACTTGCCCTTGAGCAGCAATTTGGGTTTGTTGAATAACTATTCTTGAAGATGGACTTTTGTAATGAAATATTCAGAATGTGATAATGACATTCATTTCTGTATGTTTTCCTAACCTCAATAATATTTCATTTTATTTTTTTTCCCAATTTTAATGGGCTCTTGTTATAATACAAGTTATATCTTCTAAAATTTGTGAGCTCTGACTAAAGTGACTTGACTTGACTAAAGTGTACTGAAAGAGTAGAATGCAATTCGCTTCGCCCGGCTTGAACGCTCCTAATTGCCAGACCTGTAGTGTACTTTTACTATATAACGGCAAATCAGTGTTAGTCGATCTAAGTAGCAAAATGAAAAACGTTTGCTATTTCAGCCAGCTGAAAAGTTAATAAGTTAATTAGCTTTATTTAAAGACGATGCTTACGTGTGGGAATATAGCAAATATTTTTAACAGACCTCCACCACCACCCACCAATTGTGCAAACTTATCCAAATTCTGAGAAAAGTTATATTCATTAGGAATACACAAAAATCCCAAATACGAAGTTAATGTTAGCAAATATTTAACAAACCTCGAATATTCATGTCCGACTCGACTCCATTTAAGATGCCAGCTGTTATAAACCAAACAATAACAGCTAAATTGAATAAGATATGGCCCGTGACAGCCAAATCGACGCTTCCGTATAAAAAGTTGCCAAGCAGAGCCTCAGAGATCAGTTCGCTAAGAATCCAATCGACATGCGCTCCATTTTGATGCTTGCCCTGTTCGGCTTTGTGCTGCTCTCCACAACAGCCACAGCTGAAGAAACTGAGCAGACGGATGATATAGATATTGCAGAGGAAAATTATGATGAACTCAAGGATGCTGAAGAATACAAAGATGATCTGGATTACAAAGAGGATGAAGATTACAAAGATGATCTGGATGACAAAGATGATGTAAATGAAGAAGATGACAAACTTGATGAGGACGACAAAGATGGTTTGGACTATGCACAGGACGAATATGATGCTGATTCGTTTTACCCTGAAGAAACACAAAAATCAGAGCCTTCTGAATAATACTATGGTATATAATTGAAATAAAATTCGCCAATTGCATGTACATTTACTTTTGAAATATGTAGAATCTATTTGACAATTGTCTCCTCCAAATTTGTTTTTTTAAGCCAGTCAATTGGGCTCCATATTATGGGAGCTTCTTTTCAAAAACTTAAAAAATATATTTGAACCTAAAAGTGAGGAGCCGAGGAAATTCGAAGTGATCTGGGAACTTATGCTCGAATAAACAAGTAAGAAAGCTCCTAGTCTAGACTGCTCGACTACGAAATCCCATGAACCCTTCGAAGAAATTATATTTCAAAAATTCTTCGCGTCTTTCTGCTTACACAAGAAAACCCACACATGCGGAGACACACATAGGCATGCACACATGACTTAATTGCTTAATAATTATTCTTGTCAATGGACTGCCTCCATTAAACTTGTAGACAAAAATCGATATAATATATAAATATATAGATTTAATTAAATAACTAGTTTTCGATAAGGTCTTTAATCGATACCAAAATATCGGGAGTAGGTATTTTGGTATAAAAACTCGATAGGCACGGAATATACACGGACCTAGGAAAACAAATTTCAAGTCTCTAGCTCTTATATATCTGCTGAGATCGACGCGCTCATACATACGAATGAACGGACGGACGGACAGACGGACAGACACTCTCTTGTACACCATACGCAGTATGAGTTTATCATATTTTTTCGATAACTCAGTCGATTTCGTTTTAATAGAAAATAATCGATAAATTAATTAGGGGCTTTCAACGTCATTTTAATATTATTAGACCTGGAAACTTCAGATTTTCTGTGTATATATATTTTTGATAAATATAAAGATGTCATTTGCAGATTTTGGAAAGCACGCCCCTATTCGGCCCCCATTTGTAGAGAGATTTGTGTTTTGGAATATACACAGATTTGACCATTATGATAAATTTCATGAAAATAGTCTCACTACAAGAGAAATTATTTCGTACAAATAAATTCTGATACAATTGCCCACACTGCAGTCGATGCGTGCTTATCGATTCAGTTGCTTTTGTATGTATGCAGAATGATTGGAACATTATTTCCTTGCGGGGTTCAGGGTATCTCCTAGTCGAGCTGTCTTGACTAGAGCACTCTTACTTATTTGATTTGATAGAGTATAGAGCATATTAAAAGTCAGTGACGTGCCAAATTTTGCAGTTCTAGATCCAAACTGTGACAAATATAATCTTATTCGATTTGTCACGTAAAGTTGTAAGTTTCTGCTTAAATAGTTATGGAACAGTTTGACAGCAAGACGAACGTTGCACAAACTAAGATTCATTTTATTCCTCGAGAAGACACTTGTTAGACTAAAGTAAATGCTTCCTTAATTTCCACTTTAAGAACTGACAAGCCTGCTTGAACTGAAAAGTCATTCGACTAAAGGGAGATTTAAAATGGTAATGGTAAGCTCGGCTGTCTTGGGTGCCGCGGCTGGCACTGGTCTGGCGCTTCTGCTGGCTGTAACTATAGTTATGTACCGTTATTATCTGCTGCGTAGGCGTGGTAAGGTGAGTATTATACAATTCATTATCCATTTTATAGTAACCATTTTGTATTTCATGTGTCCAAATCAGGAGTGGGACGAGCTGGATCGCTGGGAAGAGACGCGTATCATGCGTAAATTGCAAATGAAGGTAAGCTTATTACGAATTGGAATGCCATTCTGTATAAGGCATGAATAATGGCGTTCGCAATTCGAATCATCTATTTGCTTGTAACAGTACAGTTTTGCATTCACTGATTTGGATGATTGTGCCATATTTTGAGTTTCGCATCTCTAAAATGGTTTGCGACTTGGCTAGCCACTTTGTCAGCAAACTGAAGTACAATACATAAGCAATTGCCAACAAAGTAGCACTTGCTTAAGTACATAATGTATATTCCAGATAAATGATTTACGCTCAACGCCAAGTCTATTTCGAAATATTATTTGTAATGTGATTAAATTGTTTCACAAAGAGATTCTATTTGTATATGTTTGTTTTGTATATTTATCCTCCATATTATTATTTGACCAATCGATCTTTAGCCATATGATATTTTTCTCTATTTTTATATTCTATTTCGGTTATACATATAACATAATAATCATAATGTGATATTTATAAACAAAGTATAAAAAAAATCCAAAGCATAAAGAAATATGATATACGTTTTAAAAGAAATACCATAATACATCATATCGAATCATACAAGTTAGATTACAAAAAAATAATGAAATAAAACTGGCATATTTTAAGTAACATATTTTAATAAATATGACGCGTGCAAACTGCGTAGACCAAATTGTCTAATTGGCTACAATGGGAATTATCAGTCCAGTATATCTGCAAACCTAAATGTTAACTATTCACTTAAGTTCATCCTTTCGAGTACTAGCTTTGTATTCCCATTACCCAATTCGTTTCATTTAAGTAAAAATCTTCGGTTGGCGGCAGCCATATTTGTCAATCCAGAAATCATAAACGGCGATAAGGGCCACAAAGAGATACGAATGTAACAACTGCTGCGAGTCCCAAAAGGGTGCTTTGTCTATTAATTGATAATGCAGCCGTGTGCATTATGTATTAGATTTATTCATTTCAGTCCATCCTGGGGTTGTTTCGATACCATCACGAACACACTCCGCAGTAGAACGTGCCGCCTATTGCGCAGAATCGCGAGCGACTGCCAAGGACAACGCGCGCGCTTTTCCATTACCCTTATCCAGGATGTGGACACATTTATTTGTTTATTTTTATTTTTTCTTTTAATTTTAAATATGGTTTTTATTGACTGGCTGTCGCAGTTGACTCGGCGAAGTGGTGGAAAGGGAAATGTTATCGTACGTTTCATTTGTTTGTATGTGTAATTTGATTAGTTGTTAGACTCTGTAAGGCTGAATGTTCGGAATGTTGCTGTTGCTGGCGGCGACTCAATTGTTTGGACCTTTACACCCTATTGGCCTCTTCAAAAAGCCACAACATTGACCACAACAAAGCACTTCTGATTAATGGTAGCGGCCTTCGGATGGACCACGATGGCCGCTAAAAAATGCTCAGCTAAACTATCTGGTATCTGCGTAAAAGTTAGCATCCTCGACTGTCCACTCGTACCTGGCCTGGCGGCACACAAAGGACATTAGCTGCATGAATGGTGAGGTCTGCACAAAGACATCTGCAGATCACTGCAAGTGCTCTCAGCTCTCAGCGCTCGGCTCTTGGCTCTCGGCTCTCAGTTCAGAATCCAATACAATTGTTTCATTGTTTCGTACCTTTGTGCTGCACTGACTTTCATTCATAAATGAATCATGGAGCTGGGCATTGTTGTCCTGGGCCTTTGGTCGAATGCCATCAAATATTAAACAGTCGGTAAAGGACTTTGAAATGTATTTCTATAGCCATCAGTTTAACGCTGTCATAGGAGAATCGTAAAGTCCTTCGCCAATTTGGTACTAAACGACATTCCAAACAAACAGACCGCACGCACTCACCTATTGCCGGAGGTCTGATGACTCAGAAACACGCAACGAAACACCAATTGCTGAGTGGTGCAAAGCTCTTCTATAATTTATTCATAAGCGCACTATAATATGAGGCTACTTGAGCGATAATGAAGTCATATTTGTTAAGCCAACAGCCGTTCACAGAAGTGTTTCTCTCCACTTTCTGTCCATCAAGAGCCCCTGAGCTACAATAAATAAACCCTCAGCCGTGAATGGGAGAACAGCCAGAGCCGCTCGCTGACTGTTTGCCAAAGTAGCAACAATGGCAACTACAACAATCAGTCAAATGCAAATGTCACAACCAATTAATGTCAAGAACGATATGCTGTACAATCAAAGCAACTGAACTCTCATAAGCCAAACGGGGTGCAGCAGATCCCATCTTGTTGGTGCTGCTCCTGGTGGTGGTTCTTAGCGCACACGCGATGACTGGTGTATCCAGTTTGCCATAGAATCTCTCTCTCTCTCTTTGTCATTCTCTTTTTGTCTCTATCTTTCTATCACACTCCATCTGCTTAAAATTATATACAAAGTTTCTCTCCGCTTTGATTTGCTTAGCGCTTACCCCAGTTTTGTTTACAATTAAAATGATATTGTGGTCTTCGCTTTTCCAAAAGGGAGCTACGTGAAGCCCTGGATCCCTAAACATGTTTGCTAATAGAACTCAAACATTCTCTCAGTGTAAATTCAGCTCATGTCTCCGAGGAAACAAATTACAAATGCTTTGACCTTAGCATTCGTGGAAAGCAGAATGCGATAATAGCACGATCTATTCGATCAACAATACTTGAAGTAATTCGAGCGTATAAACTGAGCATCTACAAACGGATGTGGTCGAAGGTGAGCAGCACAAAGTGCTCAAGAGGCCCTTCACGAATAACAATATCTTATAACAAAAACTGGTCCAGATTCTGAGCACGAGACCGGCGCAACGCCTACACAACGCATTGCCAAAAAGAAAAAAAAAAAAAGATTCGTTGCTGCAGCTGCGACTTGGATTGCAAAGAATTTTTGCATGGGCTTACAATAAGGAAAGTACGCCAATTAAGCAGAAGCCAAAACTAACAACAATGCCCCAAAATAGAAAAAACAAACGATATGTCGGACCCCTCTCTATGCCGGACCCTAAAGCTATGCAACTGCAGTTAACAATGCAATTTGAGATGTACCGTCAGAGTGGGACAACAATTAACGTTCGTAATTGTGTGGAGTTTTATAGCCACTTAACATATGATAAAATATCATGGAAGCATCACAGAAAGAAGAGACACAACACAAAGCAGCACCCGGACAGACACCTAAGCATTACACACGCCGTAGCACAATGGCGTGAAAAGGACAATTATAGGAAATCCTTAAAGTCAGTTAACAAATGATAAAACTGCCGCCAAATGTTCGCTCCGTAACGTAGCCCAAAAATCAACTCTCCTGCACTCCCTCTCGCTCTTGCCCTTGCTGTCAACTTCTCTCATTCTAAGGC